GCCTCGCCAACCACCTCTGTAACAGTCCGCTCCAGATCTGTCAAAAACGGACGCCAAACTTTTACTTTATATTTTCCAAACTCTCTCCGAACACGGGGACTTCTTACCTGTCTCTGGCCTTTTGGCTCCCTTCCGATCATCGTCATTCATAGAGATGTCCTTCCCCAAACTCATCTGAAGGTGTTCAGCAGGGAGCCAGGGAGCAAGTGACTCAGGCGCAGGCAGGGCGGCGGCTGGCCCCGCCTTCCTGACCACACACACACACACACACACACACACACACACACACGCGGTCCTTCCCAGTTTACACCTCACCCCCTAAGGCGACGGGGACCCAGTGGCTGCTCTCTCTGTGTGTCTCTGGTTATGCTCCCTGAAGTTGTGAGCCTATTCCTGCCTTCTCGTTCTTGCTGGGAATATATAAAAGGCTTTTTATTGTCTTGAGTATTTTCCACCGGCCTCAGCACATTCTGGTCACCGAAGTTCCTGCCCCGCCTCCTAAGGGGTCAGACCTCTCCTAAATCGGCCTTCGCTGTCACGCACCCTCTTCCACATGAGGAGCGGGTCTGCGACCCTCCGCACTCACCAGGCAGCAGCCGGGCGGCACACAGCTGGTTCAGTTCTTCCCCTCTCCCACCATCTTCCTCTCCTCAGGGCACCATTCAGGACTGTTCCGTCAGCATTTCCTTTTTTAAGAAGCAATCCTATCCCTCCAGCTAACTTCCCCTTTAGAGTCTGTAGCCATGGGGTTAAAAACTTTATGAAAAAACCATTGTCTAAGTCTATGGCAAGCGCCTCTCCTTGTCCAGCCTCCCCCCGGCCTCACAGCTGCTCAGATGGGGTTCCTTTCTCTACTTCTCAGCACTTCTTCACCCATCAGCTCTCCCCTTGTTGGGGGAAAGGATCCCTCCTCACAGCCTCTGTCCTCAGGAAGACAGACCTATCGACCGGCGAGGCAGGAATCCATCAGGCAGTCTGATATTGTTGGGAGATCCCTAATTCCAAAGTATCTTGTCTCAAAATCGGCACCGAGAGCAGTTTCCACCACATGGCTGAGGGTCAAGACAGTGTCTCACACCATATATATTCCCCTTTCTTTCCATTTTCACTAAAATTCTCAGTCATGCTTCCACCCTTATGCATACAGTTTTCTATACAAGTTTTTGGTGGTTTTGTTTTTGTTTTTTTGCCCCCAAAGCGTTCACTTCCCTCACCCACGAGCAACTTTTCAGTCAGGACCAGAGTGGCTCCTTGCTCCTGCTGTCCAGCCTCCTCCCCAGCAGAGAGGCTGGCAAACTGCTCCTTCCCTCTGCCCTCCACGATTCTTCTATGAGCACGTGAGGGACTGTCTGGAGATAAACATTTAATTTGAGTTGTTGCATCTTTACAGTTACAACCCAGAGGCTCACAAATGCACAGTTGTTTATGCACAAAGATTAATTCTTTTCCGGATGTTCTGGGACTGTTCTGTCGCCTTGCCCTGATGACCTACTACGTGCCGGGCATTTTGCATACTTTATCTCAATTCTCGCAACAAACCCTGCGAAGAAGGGTGACCCCGCTTTATCTCAATTCTCACAACAAACCCTGCGAAGAAGGGCGACCCCGTCTGACAAATGAGAAAACCGGTGCTCAGGAGAGTCAGCGGCACAGGGCGTGCTGCGGGTTCTGAGGTCCCTGTGTCTCCACACCCACCAAATCTGACTTTCCTAACCCGCTGTCTCGTGCTATGAGCCACCATTCAGGTAAAAAGAATGTGGAGGTCAAAAGGTCTGGGCATCAGTCCGGATCTAAATCCTTCCCGGAACTAGAAAGGAAGACGACGGGAACGGGAATGAACCCTTTAGGAGCCAGAGCAGCAGTCGCCGGCCACGGTGGGAGGGCCCACTGTGGGAGCTGTCTTAAAATGCCGAACTTCTGTTCTGATAGAAGGACTCCGCAGCACTGCCACCCACCCTTCCACTGGAAGAGGAGTGAGGAGCAGGGAAGGAAGCCGGGGAAACCGAGATAACGTTTACCCACTTACAGGACGATCCAAAGCAGCTGTCGACAGATAGCTCAAAGGAAGCCGGGGGAGTTGGAGACAGGATGGAAGTGAGGAAAGGGTGCCCAGAAGAGGAAATGCCAGGGAGCAGGGATGCAAGGAGATGGTCTGATTCCCAGGAGACTCCTGGGATGCTGTGTCTTGTTCCACCTGAAGAGTCTGGGCCAAATGCTTCAGTTATATTCCTGAGCCCAAACCAAAGAACACTCAGATGCCAGGAACGCATCCTCTCCTTCCCCAGCTTCCCCAGTCCTGGGCTTGTTCCTCTGCTATGTGGTGGCTCAGATCTAAGGGTTAAGGTTCTGGGGGCCTGGTAAACTCTGGGCTGCATCTGGAGTTCCTTCACTCAGGCTGAGCCTCTAGGCATAGCAGCTCTGCTAGAGGTGCATCCATTAAATGCAACACAGCCTGGCAGTGGTTCCCACGCTTTCAGCCTTTGCGGACCAATAAAATATAGACATATGGAGACAGGCCCGGACTAAGTAGCTCAGTTGGTTAGGGTGTCGTCCTGATACGCCAAGGTTGTTTATTTGATCCCTGATCCAGGCACATAAAAGAATCAACCAATTAAGGCATAAATATGTGAACAACAAATCGGTGTTTCTCTCTCTCTCTCTCTCAAAACAAAAACATATCCTCGGCTGAAGATTAAAAAATAAAAATTTTTAAAAATTATGGAGACAGGTAATAGTTGTCATTTTGTACTTTGCTAAATAAAGACTTTAAAAAAAATAAACTTTCTATCAACACCTTGATTTCATTTTTAAAAAGCACATTTTAAACATTAAGAAGTAGAAAGGGTCTATTATTAAAACAAAGTACTTCTCTTTAAGTCAAAGAAAATTAGCTTTAAGAAAAAGCTCCCTTCATTGTCTCTTTTCCATTGTTTCTCCAGAAACTGGGAGACACTGTCCTGGGCTGGCATGTGGACCTTCTGCCCTGGGGTTCAGCAGGCCACCGGCCGTACTTTCCCTGACCCTGGGGGACTGGCGGGGCAGCGACATGGCGAGGTCTGTAGGGAGGCAGACACCTCTCAGCAGGGTTGTCCTAAGCCTCAGCCAACCCAGATCCCCGGTATCTTAACTCCGACCGCCCAGCAGCCCAGGCCAGCAGCTCACACCCAGGATGACGGGACTCTGGCCTCCCTCCAGCCCCTCTCCCTCAGGTATGCCTCATCATTGCAAAAAAAAAAAAAAAAAAAAAAAAAAAAAAAAGAGCTTAAACATGGTTCACGAGGGCCACTGGTTCCAGAAACATCCAGCCTATAAACATCAGGCCCCCACCGCTCAGGTCTGATCACAGGAGGAATGGAGTGAGACTATGGGGCAGCGAAGGAGGTGAGCCCTGGAAGGAAGGAAGGAAGGAAGGAAGGAAGGAAGGAAGGAAGGAAGGAAGGAAGGAAGGAAGGGAGGGAAAGGAAAGGAACCCAGCTTTACAGAGTAGATGGGCAGGTTCTCCTCTCCCCCACATACCAGATCTCATGCCCAGGAGTAAAGCTCAGCCCTGTCCCACCCCCTTTCAGAAGTGACCCACGGCACTGGACCAGCAGGATGCCGACTCCCTCAACGCCAGTAACAGAAAGAGGCTGGACACTTCTCCCAAGTTGGGGTGGGAGCTGCAGATGTGATCCAGATGTCTGTTTTTACCAGGGCACGGAGTCAGTGACGCCCAGACCAGGATATGCTGCTTCCACTGGGAGTGGACAAGATAAGGTCAGAGGGAGCAGAGCATCCCAGCAACACCCACTTCCCTGCCCCCGACACTTGGAATCATCCTCCAGCCACAGGACCACAGCCCCTCTGAGCCCAGGGCACAACTCTGTACTCGGCGGTCAGGGAAACCCCAGCACCAGCCGCCAGTCCATCGAAGCCACAGGTGCCCTAGCCCTCAGACGCACGCACGCACGCACGCACGGCGGCTCACAGCTGGAAAGGGCTTCAAAGACCATCAAGCACAACCCCTCCATTTCCCCCGAGGAGAAGACAGGCCTAGAGAGAGGGCTGCGTGGCAGAGCCAGGGAGCCCCAGACAGCGCAGGCCTCCGCCTCTGTCCAGCGCCAGTTCCGCTGCCTGAAGCGACCTCAGCCGCTACACTGCGCCTCCCAAGCTGCTCAACTTCGCTCGTCCCTACTCCTGCCAACTCTCCGCTGTGGCGGCTGCCACCAACCTTGTGGAAGGAAAAGATGGCCAGGGCAGGGCCACTGCCTCTCCACTTCCCTCCCCTGATCTCCTCCCAGCTCCTCCTTCCTTCCCGCTACCCCGCTACTCCAAATGCAGGGAGTACTCCTCCCCGGGGCGACAATGTGTCAAAAACACGTCATCCATTCATTCAATTAATATCTGAGTGCTTCCGATACACCAAGGATCGGAGCCAGGTCCTGAAACACAGAGGTAACAGTCTTTGACTTCGAGGTATACTTAGTAGAGGAACCCAAATCCTGGGTTTCCCATAAAATTCCCTGCCGTCTTTCTGAGAGAGAGGGAAAAAAAATGGTACCCAAGATAAAGGTTTATGGAAAGAAATACCCTACTCCATCCGGGCAGCATATAACCATAAAACCACTCCAAATTTTTCTTTCCAAACCCATCCGCTTCCATCCCTGACCTGACACCATCCCTCTCCGCATCACCCCAGCAATGGTGTGACCTTGAAATACATCCGAGGCTTCCAGCAGGACGAGAAACCTCTAGAGATAAAGCTGGCTATCACTGTCCAGGGACAAATGCAGACATCAGAGATGAGCGTGCTGGCTCAAGCGTCCTCGGCGACCCGGTTACTCTCTTATAAATTATCAGCCCGGCCAAGGAGCCCGAGCCGGCTCCCAGTGACACGAACACTCAACGCTGGACCACGAGGCTCGGAAGGAGTGGAAGGACCGCACGCCCTTGGACAAGACCCTTGGGGATACAAGCACCCGCAGGGCAGGGCCAGGGCCGCCCGGCGCAGGCCAGCTTACCTCCTTGAGAAGCCCCACTTTCTTCTTCAGCACCTCACACTTGCGCAGCTTGCAGATCTGGTGCGTGCGACGGTTGGTGCAACTGGTGCAAGCCCCACAGTTCTCCGGCCGCCGGCAGGGCTCACACGTGCCACACCGTTTCCGTTTCTTTCGTCCATCCCCGCCCCCTCGGAGTTGAGGCTCACTCCCAGCCATCGGGAGCCCGGGCCCCTGGAAGCCCCCTGCCATTACCTGGCCCTGAGGAAAGTCATAAAGGCCCGGCAGCTCCGGCTGCACGGCCAGGGGCACCTGAAACTGGCTCATGACGCTGCCAGACGCGGGGGCATAGGTGCCAGGGCAGAGCCACCGTCCAGCTTCCTGCCTGCCAAGGCCACCAACAGGTCCTTCTTCCCTAAAACAGTCTCAGCCTACAAGGGGGCGGCTAGGAGCTCCAGTCTGGGGGGGGGGGGTGCCTCTTCTCCACCCCTCTTCACCTCCTCTGCAGCAGTCTGGTAGGGCTCAGCTGGGGGCCACTCTCCCACTGGCTGCGGCCCAGGGTCTGGGGGAGGACGGCGGCAGCAGCGCCCAGAGCAGGGATCATCTTGGCTGGGAGGGCTCTTCACCCTCACCCTCCCTGGACGCAGGCATGAGGTGGACAGGTGTGTGGTGGGGCAGAGCAGGGGCAGTTTCTCCTGATTATTTCTCTTCCCCAGTCAGGATGGTGAAGGCAAGGCTGCCTGAAAAAGACAGAGAGGGGAAGGGAGCGCATCACCTGGGGCTCAGACAACTTTCACGTGTTCCCTTTTCCTGCAGCTGCCGGGGAGAGAGAAAATGGGGGGAAGAGCCGGGCGCGCTCAATGAAGTTCTGCCCAGAGCCCCTGGCAGGGCGCACTAGCACCCACGCCCTGTCTGGGGAGGAGGCCGAGGGCCGGATGGGGTGTTCAGGGAACCTGGGCGACTCATTGAAGGTGGCGGTCAAGGTGATTTGTAAGAAAGTTGTTCTCTGCCCCACCCCCACGGGCCGGGAGAGTTTCACCCAAATTCCCACACACACCCCTCGCTCGAGGTCGCCGGGGCCTCCCCAGCCGAGCAGAGCTTTCAAAATAAAGTTTGCTGAGAGCTGCACGCGGCGGGGCTGCCCGGGCGCGCCCGGCGCGGGAGCGGCCTGCAAGGGGGTCGCGTGCGGGATTGCCCGCGCCGGCCGCCCCGCCGCGCCCCGCGCCCCCGGCCAGTCCGGGGAGGGCGGCCCGCTCCGCCGAGGGGGCGCGGGGAGGGGGGCGCGCTCCGGCTCGGCCCCGGCCGCGCGCGCGCCGCCGCTCGGGCTCCTTTGTTCTGGGGCCTCCGCCGCTCGGCTCCGGCGGCTCCGCGGCCCCCGCCCCGCCCCGTCGCCCCCGCCCGGCTCCGCTACACGGTGACCCGTGGCACCCCCCGCCCCGTCCCCCGCCACAAAGTAGCGGCCCCTCCGGCCGGCCCCGCGTCGTCCCCTCCCCCGAGGCCGGGCCCCCCACGCCTCCCGCCGCCCCTCCCCCACCCCGGAGCCGGAAAGGCACCGACTGCACCGACCTGCCCGCCGCCTCCGGGGCGGAGCGCACAAAGGGGCAAAGTTTCCCGGCCCGCGCCGCTGCCACCACCGTCGCGGCCGCCGCCGCCGCCTGGGGCGCCCGCCTCCTGGAGCGCCTGGCCCAGCCGAGCTCGGAGCGCGGAGCCCCCCGCCCAGGCCGAGGAGGGGACGGCGCAGGAGGAAGGAAGAGGCAGCGGCGGCCGCGGCGGCAGCAGCAGCAGCAATGAAGGCGTCCGCGGGACTCCCCGCCCCCCGCGCGCCGCGGCACGTGCTCGCCCGGGGACTCCCCCGCCCGGGAGGGCGCGCACGTGCGGCCCCGCCGAGCCCCGCCGTCGCCCCCTCCGCCGGGGCCTGGGGTTGCACGAGGGGGGAGTTCCCGGGAGGGGGAGGGGACCGAGCGGACGACCCCCGAGCGGGTGGGGGGCAGGGTCTGTCCCGGGCGCCGAGCCTTTGCACCTGCACAACCTCCCCACCCCCGCCGTGGGCCCTCCCTGGACCCGGCCGCCACCCTGGGGATGGCCACTCCCGCCCTCCGGGGCCTCTGCAGCCCGGGCGGGCGAGGCGGGCCGCACCGGGTGGGGCACGCGGACCTCCCCGAGCCTGGGCCCTCTCCGAGCCGGCCCTCGGTCCCCACTTCCTGCCACTCCCTGCGGGCCCGCGCGGTCGGGGACGGCCCCAGCGCCCCCGAGAGCCCTGAGCTCCCGACCCGACTGACCTCCCCCCTCCCGGCTGCTGCTCGCTCATTTCGAGGCAGGACAATGGGGGACATCGCGCGTTTGCGTACCGAGTCAGCCTGGCCGCAAAGAGAGGGTACTCGGGGACGGAGGCCACGCGGGCCGGCTGGGGGGGGGGGGGCGCCTTCGCGGGGGTCACGGCCCAGCGCCCAGCCCAGGCGGATCCCAGGACCCTGCCGTGGCGAGCCTCCCCCTTGCGGCGCTCGGCTCTTTTCGCGTCGAAAACAAAGACTAATCCGATACCCCCGCCCTGCCTCTCGGAGGAGGGGGAACGGGCGCGTCGCGGAGGGTAACCGAGGAGGACAGCGTTCAGGAGGGGCCTGGCAGCCTCGGAGGGGGGCATAACGCAACGGGATCCTGTAACCAGGCGCAGACACTTTGAAAAGTCACCCCGGGGTATTTTTCAGGCGGGGCGGGGGGGGGGGGCGGTGTGGGGTGCAAAGCACAAGAATATTTCCAAGTTGCCAAACTGCCCCTTCTCTCTGTTGCCTTTTTCCCTCACCTGTTGTTCAGGCCAAGTTGAAATTCCAGGTTAGATTAATTCAACTCCACCCATCTGGCCTGACTGCCAGGCTGGTGCCTGCAGCTGCCTTCCACCTACCTGGGTTGCTGGGGAGAAGGGCGGGTCTCTAACACACACACACTCACACACACCACCACCACCCCACATACACACGGGGACGCGCGCGCGCGCTCGAGGGCAAGTCCTGGCAGAAACAACCTCGGGCGGACTGGCCGGACCAGTTTGGGCGGTGCTCACGGAGCCAGGTACCTGGCAGGCGTCCCTGCCAGGCTGTAGCTAACAAGTCAGCCAGAACTGGAAAAAGAGCACTGGGCCGGCTATTTAGAAAGAAAGAAAGAAAAAAGTAACTGATCCCCAGAAGCGCTGTCCAGAGAGGGTGGTGGAGAAGCCCGGGTTTTGTCTGGAACTTACTTGCTCGGACGCTTGATTTTGACAGCCTGCTCCAGTGCAAGGCTGTCAGCTGTGGGATGGCTGGTGAGCGAGGCTGCAATACTTTCTTCCTACCCTGGCTTTTGAGAGTTTCTGTTCAGGGAAGTAAGTCCAGAACTGAGAAGAGAAACCATCAGAGTGTAATTTCCAAACATGAAAACAGGTTATGCACTTGTAATTGTTTAAAATGTTATACTTTAATGTTTTCAATAATTTTCTTTTTAATAAAATTATCTTAAAGAAAATACAGAGAATTAGAAGACAAACATTGTGCCAATACCACGTGGAACCATTTGCTGCATTTCCCTGTCGCCGTTTCTATGTGCAGATTCGTTTCCTTTTTTAATAAAATGGTGTTCTGACGCTGATTGTGCAATTTGCTGTCCTCTTTCACTTAACATTATACCACAAGCATTTCCCTATTGGTTATACGATCTCCAGAGAAACGGTGTGACAATGAGGTGAAGAAGGTGGCTCGGGAGCCGGAGAACTCTGGGTTCCAGACTTGGCTCTGCCACTTGCTAGCAGAGTGACCTTGGACCAGGTGCTCACAATCTTCCAAAGGCTCAAACAATGGCAGCAATGATTGTCTAATCTATAGAACAACGGTGTAAAGTACAGACGATCACGAAATCCATTTTATAGGCAAGGAAACAGATTAAGTAACTTGCCCAAGGTTACTAAGAGAGGAAAGGGTAGACGCAGAATTGAGAGCCGTGGAATCTTTCCGCCCAGAGTCTTTTCTCGGTTGAGTGGTCCCAGCAATTTACTGTGTCAATTTACTCTTCACCAGCTGTCTGTGAGGGGGTCGTTTCACAAAATCCTCTGGGTTAGGTAACTAGGGGGTCGGGGGTCGATGGTACCATTCACCAAGACAGAGGACAGGAGGACAGATAGATGCCTGGGGACATCTGTGTGGAGGTGAGGGGACACAGTCTGGTCTGGAACACGCACAGGGTCCCCCCCACCTCCTCCATCAGTGAGGAGATCGTAAGTGAGGCCTCGGGCGTGGAGGAGCTCATAAGGAGTGGACATGGAGAGTGAGAGGAAAGGGCAGCCAGGCCAGAGCCCTGGGAGCACCAGCATCTGACAAGGGGCCAGCAAAAGAGACAGAAGAAGGAGAGAAACCGAATAGAAAAACAGAAAGAAAAGCAGAAATCAACCAAATAAAACCAGGCCAAGGCCTGAGACCTGCCTGTCAAGTCTTCTCAACTGCTTCCCCACCCCTACCCCCACCCCCACCCCCACCTGGCACACTGGCAGTCTCCTTGCACTTTCCTCCTGTCTGGGAAACCTCTTCCCACTTCACCCCCTCCCAGCTACCTCTTCTACCTGCCACATTCCCACGCATCCTGCAGGTCTCCGAGTACATGCCAGCTCTTCCATGCAGCTTCACGCCCCCCTCCAGATTCCGGGAGCCCCGCCCACCCCCCCACCCACCCTCCCTCCCTGGGAACAGTTATCTCATAGGCATTGGCATGAGCATTCCCCTCCCAGTTACTCTGAGCCCCTGGAGGGCTGGGACTCTGTTCACCTGTGTAACCTCAGGAGGTCAATGAAATATCCCAGTAGCACGCAGGATCCACAGGTTTCCAAGGTTTTTCCTCCCTAACTTTCTACCCGCACAAACCCTTCAGGAATCCCCCGTCCCCCCTCCAAATAACACCCAGATCCTCAGGCGCTGAGGCCTCCTGTGCGCGGCGTTATTCCCTACTCGCTCAGCGCTCGGGGCAGAGAGCAGCTGGGCGGGCGCGGGCTGCCCAGCGAGCCTCTATCTGCGGGCGGGCGAGCGGCATTAAGCTACAGCCCGTGGGTTCGCTCCGTGGGGCTCCAGGACCACAGCATCACCAGCACCTGGGAACTTGTTAGCAGGAACGGCCAGCTCTCTCCCGGCCCCACCTAAACCTACTCAAGCAGAAACTCGGGGGTGGGGCCCAGCGACCTGTTTTAACAGGCCCTTCAGGGGATGCACGCTCCAAGTTTAAGAGACACCGGACCGGAGGAAGCGGGCCAAACGCAAGCTCAGCACCGAGGCGGCGGCGGCCAGGATCAGGCCCCAGGCGCTTCGGGGAGGTAGACCGAGGAAGGCTCCTTTGATCCGGGCTTGGCGGCCCCACCCCCAGCGGCCAGGGGCTGAGCCTTTTAGGGCACAGTGAGGTCAGGATCCGGCGGCGCAGGTGCCCTAAGGGCTAGAAAGGGAAATCCCGTCGCCAGGGAAAGCCCAGGCTGCAGGCACTACGGTGCTGACGGAGAGCGAGCGTGTCCCCGGGTGCAGAGGGAGGTGGGGCGAGGGAATACGCAGGGCTTCCCGCTCCAGTGTTGACCTGCAGTTGATTCAGCGCTCGGCCGAGGGCATATGCATTGACCGTGCGCCTGCGGTTCCCGGGGAAGTCACCGCGTGGAACCGCCAGGGCTGGGTGTTTGCCGAACCTGCAAATGATTGACTGTGACTAACCGCCTTGGGGGTGCCTGACCCCACGCCTTCGCGTAGCTAATAAGCCATTTGTCCTATTTGAAGAATGAGCTTTGCGCTCTGGGACCCCTTGCAGAGCAGAAATGTACACGGACACCCATGTTCACACCTGGGCTGGGTTGTGACGATGGGCAGCATTGGGAAGCTGATTTGGTTTGGGATGTGTTTCTCCTTTCGTCATGTGGTGGTAAAAAATATTACCAGCTACTATCTTCATACAGCTTTCTCGGTGCAAAGCACGTCCACACACATTATCATTCTGTGTATACAGGCAGGCGAATACACCAAATGTTACATTTCTTTGTATGATACAGTTTTTATTACTATTATCACCATTTTAGCGATAAGGGAACGGACTGAGAAAGGTAATTTGCCCAAGGTCATGCACAGAACCTCTGCAATTAGCCTGCCCACGCCAGCGCTGATATGGGACAGAAGCTGGCATTTTGCTCTTGAGGAAACGGAGATTGAATAGTGGGTTGCTTTTGGACGTGCTGTGGTTAGTTTAACATGTGTGGGGCATCTAGAGTGTGCTTGTGAATAGCTCAGCAAATGCTTTCACGTTTTACAACTGTTTCTGTGACTTCATTTTGAATCTAGTTTGAATCAAATGGACTATATAACTTATAAGGAGAATGCCAGATTCCAGTTGCTGAACATTCAAGAGGGATAAAGACCTCGGTGCCCCCAAACCTTGTTTTGACTGGGTGTACCAGTCAGGATCAGTTAGCTTGTGCTATAGTAACAAGCAATCCCCAGATCTCAGTGCTTTGACATAACAAAAGTGTCTGTCTCGATCGCGGAATACGTCCATTGTAGGTCAATAGGAGCTCTGTTTGCCACAGCCACTCAGGGACTAAGGCTGCCACAATAGACATGTTGCCTACTTGACCCTGAAGGTGGGAAACAAGGACGGGGCAGATGGAGCACTGACTCAGAAAGCTTTTGGAAGTAACACACATCACTTCTGCTCCAAAGCAAGTTGGGGGGCTCCTGGATGCACCCTAACCAGGGATCAAACCCAATAGGGGCAGGGAAATGCAATAGACACAATGCTCATGTGCCTGGAAGGAGAAGCAAAAACATTTGGCTAGCAGCCCTGCTAACTAACACACAGGGAGTGTGTGTATGGGAGACAGGTGTGTAAGGGAGACGGGTGTGTAAGGTGCACTTGAAGAATGTGTAGGTGCAAGCAGTTCTGCCCTTTCCAGGGTGCTTCTCCCTCCTGGGAATAGGTACTTGTGACTCCCACACTGATAGGTTGTCATTCCTCACCCCAGAGCGGGCTCAGAGGTTTAGACTCGGGTGAAAAATCTGAGTTGAGGGAAGCATCGTGGAAGGGGTAAGTGGCAGTGGGGCAAACTCCTTAGAAATTAATTTGTAACTAGAGAAAGACTCTAGCAAAGGAAAGGACTCAGGGTACATGTTTTACGTGGGGCCTGCCTGCGAAAGGAAACTTCTAAAACACCAAAGCTTTGGTAGATGCGTTTCCTGTCTTATTGCCATTCACTCCCACTCATCCTTCCTGGCTAAACTCAGGTGACACTCCAGGAAGCCTTTGATGGCTGGGCCTGCCAATCACATCGGGAGAGAGCGTAGGTCTGTCCCACCCACCGTCTGTAGACAGGGACCACATCTTGCTCCATGCTGGCTGTGGTATGGAGACTGTATGAGAATAGGGTCTGAAAATGAAGGCAGAGACCACCCGAAGGCTGTGATAGGAACCCGGGCGAGAAAAAAGGTCCTGTCTCCACTCAGGTAGTGGAAGTGATGGAGAGAGATATTAGAGAGAGATTTAGGGGGTCAAATCAGCAGGATGGGGTTGATTAGTGGGGGGGTAGGGAGGAGGTTCCTGGGAGAGCAACAGGATGGATGGTAGCAGCAAGAGGCCCAGAGGAGGAGCAGGCTGCTAAATGAGGTCAGCAAGCAGGTGCCCCTCTGGGGTCCCTATGGGACATGGCCACAGAGACACCCAGGAAGCAGCGGACATAGGGGCCTGAGGTTCAAGTAGGAAAACTGCCTGGGCCCAGATCCTATGATCTACCCCAGGGGTCCTCAAACTTTTTAAACAGGGGCCCAGTTCACTGTCCCTCAGACCGTTGGAGGGCCGGACTATAGTTTTAAAAAAACTATGAACAAATTCCTATGCACACTGCACATATCTTATTTTGAAGTAAAAAAACAAAACGGGAACAAATACAATATTTGTATTTGCATGTGGCCCGCGGGCCAGAGTTTGAGGACCCCTGATTCTACCCCTTGGTTAAACTTCAGCATCCAATCCTCTAACAAGGTCAGCATTTTTTTTTAAAGGAACTTGTGAATGAACAAAAGAAAAAGAGAGAGAGAGAGAGAGAGAGAGAGAGAGAGAGAGAGAGAGAGAGAGAAGAGAGAGAGAGAGAGAAGAGAAAGAAGAAAAAGAAAGAAAGAAAGAAAAGAAAGAAAGAAAGAAAGAAAGAAAGAAAAGGTGGGGGAGGGGGCGAGGAACGCAGAGAAAATATGTGCACTGTAACGATGGTGAAACTCCCGACTAAAGGTCCTGAGAATCCATCAGAGCACAGCAAAGGCTCATAGAAGGAGCTGAGCGTCCCTGAAAGGCTGCTCCAACTTCAGCTGGTTTGTCCATCATCTTGTTTCCATGTGTCACTCCCGTCCCATCTCCGGCTTGTCCCATCTGAGACCTGAACTGGATATTAACCCCTTTCATCCTAGAGGCGTACCCTTCCTTGCA